GGGTTAAAAGCTCACCCTACTCCAGTATGACCTCATCTTAACCAATTACAACAGCAATGATCCAATATCTAAATAAGGTCACATTCTGAGGTTCCAAGAAATACATGAATTTTGAGGAGACATTATCCAACCCAGTAACCCAATAAGCCCACCAAGTCTGCCTTCATTCTCATATGGCCACCTTTGTAGGCAGTGAAAGCCCTCAACTTTAAGCCATGGATATGAGAAGCACTCTTCATTCCCATCCCTCTTTGACTTTATATCCCAATTATCATCAAGCTTGATCATTTTGGCTCCTGATATTTCTAGACTTTGAATGTTCTCATTCATCTCTAATACTTCATCCCTAATCCCGGACTCACTCTTTAGTATCTCTTGCTTGGCTGGCAGACAACAGTCTGTCCAATACCCCTCAAATCCAGCCTCTTCCGAGCTATAAAAGTGATATAGGTACATACATACAGCTTCATGGAATATTAGAAAGTTGTAGAGTTGCTTTTTATTTTTCAGTGAAAAGTTCTGCTTCTTTACTGCAACATACACAATTATGATAGACAACCTTCTTCAGGGATATAGAAATAAGAGGCAATAGTTTCTGTGGAAGCCCTGGTCTTGTAATGGCTTCTTTTGGCTTGATCGACTCTTTATAAACCTTCAGAATGTGACAAAATCCACCATATGTATAATTCAGCTTTTTTTTCATTAGATTTCAAGGTCTCTCTGGGAAAGGTAGACAAAAAGGGCTTATTTCAGTGTTTTGAGATTTAATATTATACCTGGCTCCAGAGACTACATGATAGAAGTACTTATTCTCATCTTTAAAATAAACAAACATAATGAACTAATGTACCTGCAAGAGTTGTAAGTTATCATTAGTTACTCACACACACACACACACACACACAATTAGAGAACAGTGTTTTCTCCTGAGACATATTAGCTCAGCCCAAAGATTAGTCTAGAATTAAATCATTTCACAGTTAAATATAAGTATGCTTGGGAAGATTGTTTAACTCTTTCTTGTCTTCCATGGTTTTATTCCAGAAAACATCACATTGGACCTCAGTTAACAACGCTGATTCCCGCACTCCCAAATGGGGATTCTTTGCCATCAGCATAATAGATCTTAGGGTTTGACAGGAGGTGGTGACTATAAGGAGGGAGAATCCAAGAGGTAGAGAAGGTCATTTAGCTCCATTTACATTGTACATAAAGGCTTCCACTGCTCCTCCAAACAAGTGTTCAAGCTGCTTTGGCTTCAGACTACATAACCTTAAAGTGTCTCCATTCCCTTGGCCCTCTTTCCAGACTGAGAAATCCTATTCTAGTTGATCTAGGTTTCTAGGTTAGATTACTTCTGCCTCTTCAGGAATTTATACAAATCTGAATTGTTTCAATCTTATTTAGGCAGCTCTGAGCTTCTCCTCCAACCAAGCACCCAACTCTTGGACACCATCACTTTTTAAGAATAAGAGTGACTGGAGAACACACATCGGCTCTGATTTATAAAGCCCATAGCATGCATCATACTTGCATAAGAAGATGCATAAAACTGCTAGCCATTTGTCATGGAGATGTAGAATGAAAAGTTAATCTCACCTGAATAAAATGTGGACCAGCTACTTGAGTTCTCAAAATCAATTGTCATTCCAAGAAAAAGTAATAATAACCACTTTTGGTTATTATTGTTTTGTAGTTTTCCTGGGTGAATGTTTATGTGGTCATTGGCTTCAAATTTCCACCTTCTTTCAATGCCACTAATATTACTCACTACTGGTTATTTATTTATTTATTTATTTATTTATTTATTTATTTATTAGTGTTTGCCTTGTGCCTCCTTGTGCTAAACCTTTTCACCTGGAGTTCTTTTATGTAATGACTTATAAAAATTACATAGAGCACATTAATATGAAAATTTCTGAAACCAATGGATTGAGAAGAACATGTACTAATGGCAGAAATTTTAAAACAGGAAGACAGAAGCCCTGGATATCCACAATATGAGATTTTTGCACATGTAAATCACTCAATCTTGGGCCAAAGATGTCCACATCTAACAACAGAAGTTTTTTAATTACTATTTGAAAGAATTATGCAGCATCTAGTTAAGGAAACTTATTTTAGCATAGAATTTAAAGTAGAGGTTGTTTGGTTTTTGTTTTGATATTCAGACAGTAATGTTTTTTTAATTCAATTAAAATCTTGGGTTAAAGGAATGAGAAAGCCACTGAATTTACTACCAAACCATTCAGTTCTGTGTCTCATTAACATCTTAAAATACAATTTTTAAACTGACTTCTTTCAGATTCTGAAGGAAACTTAGTCATAATTAAATCTGATTTACTTTCATATAGCATTTAAAAAAAGAATGGGTGAAGGGGTGAACAGGCAGAGAACAGAGGATTTTTAGGACAGTGAAAGTACTCTGTATGATAATATAATGATGGATATAAGTCATTATACATTTATCCAAACTCACAGAATATACAGGAATGAGCTCTAAAGAAACTATGGACTTTGGATGGCTGTAATGTGTCAATGTGGATTCCTCCATTGTAACAAATGTACCACCCTGGTGAGTGATACTGATAATGGAGGAAGCTATGCATGTGCCCAGACAGGAGGCATATGAGAAATCTGTGCCTTCCTTTCAATTTTGCTGTGAATCTAAATCTCCTTCAAAAAAATTGTCCTTAAAAAATATTTTATTTCTGAGAATTTTTTTTCAAATTGTTTGCTGTATTTGAACTCTAAATTTGAGAAGTCAAGTGTTTCCTCTTCCAGCCTTCTCTCTACATATGTATTTACATCTATTAAACCACATTTGATCCAGTAAGAAACATTTATTTATCTTGTATTTTCTATATTTTGTAAATAATACAACTTCTACATAAACATTATTCTAACAGGCTCTTAAAAAGTTGACATAAGTTTATCATAAAACCTAGCAATTCTACTGGTAAATATCTGCCCAACAGAAATGAAAACACATGTACCCTCAAAGACTTGCATGTAAATGTTCTTAACATCATGATTCATTATAGTCAAATTGAAAACAACCCAAATATTCATCCACTGGTGAATAGGTACACAAATATCGTATATCCATACAATTGAAAACTATTCAACAATAAAGAAGAATGGAATACTGGTATATGATACAACCTGGATGAATTTCAAAAACATTATGCTAAAATGAAAGATGCAATAAACAAAATACTTCATATTATAAGATTCTATTCATATGAAATGTCCAGAAAGGCAAATTTATAGAGGCTGAAAGTAAATTAGAGGTTGCTTGAAGATAAGAATGAGAACAGAGATTAACTATAAGTAGGCATGAGGTATCTTCTTGGAATGGTGAAAATGTTCTAAAACTGAATAATAGTGATGGTTTTACAACTTGATAAAATTTCTTTAAAAACATTGAAAAGGGTAAATTTCTAAATATTAAATTTGCAGCTTAGAAGTGACTAAAAAAAGGAGAAAAAATACCTTAACAAAAATGAAATGTTACACATTTTTAAATATCCTACATAAAGTATTCCATTAGCCTTTGATATTTTGTTGAAGAAAAGCTATAGTAAAGCTAAGACTAAAAAGTCAAATACTAAGAATTCTTTGCAAAAAATTTTTTCAAAGCATACTTTGCTTCAGAATGGAACAATTCAATCTTCCAAAACCTTTTTAGAAAATGAACTTTCTTGAGATAGAATCAGTAGAGGGCCACTGACCACAGGACATACGAACAGGAAACAAGGTTTTCAAGATTCTTGTCTTAATAACATCCACGATCCATAACCTACCCCATTACAGTACTTCCTGTCAGATTCATTTTAATAATCCAATTTCTGAGCTTCCTGTCAGAACTCATTTTAATAATCCAAATTCTGAGCTTTCTGAATATTAAATCCCAGAAGGATTTTTTTTTAATGTGTGTCAATGTCAATAAGAAAAGCATGTTGTGAAGTGATAAAGTAGACAGGTGGATTTTGAATCTAGAGAAATTGAGAAATGCAATGCTCAGAATAATTCTGATCCAACAGGTTTTTAGTACCCAAACCACTAGTGTGAGTACTTTTGTTTTGTAGTTTTCCTGGGTGAATGTTTATGTGGTCATTGGCTTCAAATTTCCACCTTCTTTCAACGCCACTAATATTACTCCCTACTGGTTATTTATTTATTTATTTATTTATTTATTTATTTATTTATTTATTTATGTTTGCCTTGTGCCTCCTTGTGCTAAACCTTTTCCAAAGGAACCAAGATCTGCTGAGTTCCTTGGGATGAGCTCTATGAAGAAGGGCCTGGCCCCCGTGTCAGCCTCACGGGGCAGAGACTTGACCGCAGGGGCAGCTGGCAAAGCAGGGGCCCGTCCTGAGAAGGCACTTCCAGGAGCTTCCCTAGGTTGCAGCAGCAGTCAGGAGCCATACGCCCTCTGCCCCCTAAGTCCCTAAAACCACTTTACACCAGGTCCCTCCCTGGCTGCCCTCTGGGGTCATAGGCTCAGGGAAAATGCAATAGCTGATGCGGACTGATCCTTGGGATCACCCTGTCTAATCATCTACAGATTTTATCAAAGAATGGACGGAGACTGGTGAGGTGAGATGACTTGGCTAAAGCCACGCAGCTGGCAGAGCCAGTTAGAACTCGGGTCTCTGCTGGACACGGGCCACAAGCACTGCCTGGGGCTTGGAACGCTCGGTGCAAGGAAAATGGCATTGCGGTGAGAGAGGCGACGTGCTCGGCAACTTGGCAGAGGTCACCGATACCCACCTTCAGGGCAGAGTGAGCAAAAAGCAGTGACCAGACCTCCCTGGTTACGCCGGTTGACCTGAGCACCCCATTCCCTCTAAAAGTACCCTAGCTTGCATGTTGATGATAAGGTCACCCTAGAAAAAGAGGCATCTTTGAATTCTCCCCACTCCTGTGCAGGCAGGGCAGAAAATGGGAAAGTTGCACTTACCACATCTTCCCTCGTTCAGTCTCCCCCTACTCACCAAGCCTCGGTCCTCCATCCTCGCACCAGCAGTACCCTCTCCCGCTACCCTTCCGCCAGGCACTCACCAGCCGCGTGCAGAGCTGCCCGCCGTGTCTGGTCCCTTCGCGCTCGGCTAGCCCGGCTTCTCGGTGGCCGAGAGCTGCGACGCGGACTCTAGCTCCTGCCGCCTCTACGGCCCCCGGGGATGCTGCCGGGTCTGAGCCGTGGGCTGGAGCGCAGCCAGGCGGTGGCGGCGACTCCGGGGGCGGAGGGAGCGGCCGCCGGGACCCGCCCCTGAGCGCAGAACGCGGCTCCCCCGCGGTGGCCGGGTCTCGGTGCCGCCCCGGCCGCCGGCGAGCTCTAGTGGCAAGGGCCACGGTGGCTCTTCCCCGTTGGCACCCTGGGCAAGACTTGTTCCTACGTGCGCCTTAACAACCAGTCATCAGTGATCATCACAAAACCGTGTCCTCCCCGCCTGCCACTCTCAGTTCCCTCTAGTGACTGCTCAGGTTCTGGTAAGAATCTGCTTGATGTTAAGAGAGGGAATTTCACTTCTCTCCGAGCTCCTGGACACAACAACTAGTCCGTCCTACCTATTTGTGCGCGCCGCGAGGGTTTGTAGTCCAAGTGTCATTAAGGTTGCATTTTGAGCGAATCATGGATGTTTAGAGAAGGTAAGAATGTGCATAGTTTTCTTATTTGCACCGGAATTTGGATCTTCGTTTTTATTAGCAGATAATTTAAACAGATTAGGAAGCAACATGCAATGCTGACAACTTTCAGGCAATGAAAAGCACAAACAATGAATGTCAAGTTTCACTTTCAGGTTCTCATGAAGGAAAATCAGGTCTTTACTATTAAGGTCTCACTGTATGCTTTCAAAGCCAAATTAAATGGATGACAATAAACTACTGATTACTGAATACTAGTGCCCCTCTCTGCTTCCAGAGAGGTGGTTTGTCCTCACTGAAGTCCTGAGATCTCCTCTGGTTTCCTGAAAATAATTATTAGTGTTCAAAGTCTTCTTAACACCAATGTGCTGTTTGATACTCTGCTCTGGCTTCCTACCCAAGGCCTATGAAACCTGCCACTTCTCTACTGACTTCTTCTAAATTCTCTATTTAGGCCAAGGCTGTGTGAAATATGAAAATATAACTAGGCAAATATTTAAAGTGTCTATGGTGCTACAATCAAGTTCTTTAAATTATTTAATATTTCTACCCCCAAAATGTAGTAAACATCATTTCTATTTTCATGTAATAAACTGAGCCCCATCAAAGTTCGATAATTTGAATAACATGAAATAGCTAAGAAGACTTCAAATCAGTTTTTGAACTTAGGTTTTTCTGCTTTTAAGGTAGATTGATATTTTTAAACTTACACTCTGTTAATAAAGCTTGTGATTTTTCTAAATGCCAACTGGTATATTTTATTTTCTAAACACATAGTTTCTCTATGATCATACAAATATTAAAGAGATTGGGTTATTTATATTTTCAGTGTAACTTCAAAATTTATTATACAACATCAAATATATTTCTAAGACCTATTATCACTTTATTATGTAACAGTATGTAATATTATTATCTAAGGCTAATTATTCTAAGAACTGTTTATTTTAGAGAGCCTATATTAGAGAGTGATGATAAAATATTTGTATTTACAAGTTATGTCACCATGATAGCATTTTTATGATTCTGCAACTGCATTCCTTATTTTACAAAAATAATTTTAGTAAAACCTGTATTCTGTAAATTTGATAAAACTATTAGCTCTCACTGATACACGTTTAAGTTACATATTTGAAATCATCAGAACCACTTAAATGTATGCTCCATGAAGGTTTAATCTTCACTACCTAGTTTAAAATAGAACCTGTACAAAATAGTACTGTACAAAATAGGTACTCACTAAGCAGTTTTTATATGAATAAATATCATCTCATTTACATCAATTAAGATAAAATAAAACTTAAGAAAACACTATTTATAATACGCTTTTATCTGTTTACAGTGGGTTGAATATTTTTATAGTCTTTCATTTCTAGAAAATAAGGGAGGTGATGAACCAGGTGAATCACCTAAAGGCTTGCAGTAGCTGCTGTTGGGAATGGTAGAGAGAACCTGATCATAAATCTACAGAAGTACTTATGAGTTCAGGAATCGGTGGTAGCAGTAGTCCACACAATCATGTGAATTTGTGTGAAATACAAGAGTCTAAATGTAGAAAGTTTAATCCAACATAGGAGTTTTGCCAAGTGATTTGATGAAAAGAAAAGGAGAAAGCTTGGCTACCATTTTTAAGAGAGCAGTTGAAGGACAAGGGTATGAGGTTGATTTAAGACAATGTAGAAAAATAAGTGAAGACATGAAAAGGGAGAGAAAATGAAGTCAAAGAACTACAAACTTCAATCAAATGAGAAAAATATAAGAAATTACAGTCAAAGTGGTATACTTTTCTTGGAAGTTTTGGTAGTAGAATGAAGTCATGGTTTATGGAAAAGCTGTGAGTGGAACAGGCTAACATAGGATGAAGATCAAGAAATTCAAGACTAAGGTACTGGAAAAGCTACCCGTGTGAACATGGAAGCTACCAGGAGTGATGCTATGGGATAGAGAGGGAGTGAGTCAGATTCCAAAGACTTCCACGAGTGTGGTGGAATGTTCTGAAACTGGTGGATGACTGTGCAGAGTTGGGGCAGAAAGTATGTATCTGGGGACCAAGAGTCTAAATGAACCAAGGGCTAGTATTAAAGCTGGAACACAGTTCAGAAACAATACAGAGCAACTTCAAGGATGCCAGTGCTTCCTCCTGAGGCCCAAGGGTGTGAGCTAACAAGCCTCTGTACTCAAGGGAGATCTATGGGAAACTATTCCCAGAAGAAAACTGATTTCCACCTAACACAAGAAAATGGAGGAAGCATAGTATAACTAAGTTATGAAGGTAGTAGAATTTTTTCAATATTGAACAAGGATTATGCAAGGTCAGAGTGGATAAATTTAGGAGGCAGGCCTGGCTTTGTGAGTATGTAGCCAGTGCAATAGCCTAGGGCTCTACTTTTAAGTAGGCCCTGTACTTGGCTTAATGCTCTGCTGGTCCATTTTGATTTTGCACTTGGCCCCACAAATTAATTATGTAGCTAGTTCTGTTTGGAGGAAATGGGGAATTAGGATCATGGGTGAAGCAAGAAGTAAGTTATGGGACAGACGAAATGCAGGAGATTGCATTTTGAGAAGAGACCACTAATGGTGAGAGAAGGGATGTGGCTGCAATATTTCAGAAGATGTCTAATTTCACTCCCTTTAGGGCCAGGCTAGCTGAGACTTGACAGAGCAGGAGAGGCAGACAGCAGTACTAGCAGCCTACTCCATGTTTCTGTAAGCTAGTGTGTTCGTTTCCTAGAGTTGCTGTAACAGATTACTACAAATTTAGTGATTTGGAGTAGCAGGATTTTATTCTCTCATAGTTCTATAAACCAGAAGTTCCAAATCAAGGTATTGCTCCCACTAAAGGCTCTAGGGGAGAATCCTATTTTTCCTCTTTAACTTTTGGTGGTTGTAGGTAATCTTGGTGTTCTAAGGCTTGTGGCTGCATAACTCCAATCTCTGCCTCCCCCTTCACATATTCTCTTTATTTTCTCCTTTTAGCAGGAGAGGCAGACAGCAGTACTAGCAGCCTACTCCATGTTTCTGTAAGCTAGTGTGTTCGTTTCCTAGAGTTGCTGTAACAGATTACTACAAATTTAGTGATTTGGAGTAGCAGGATTTTATTCTCTCATAGTTCTATAAACCAGAAGTTCCAAATCAAGGTATTGCTCCCACTAAAGGCTCTAGGGGAGAATCCTATTTTTCCTCTTTAACTTTTGGTGGTTGTAGGTAATCTTGGTGTTCTAAGGCTTGTGGCTGCATAACTCCAATCTCTGCCTCCCCCTTCACATATTCTCTTTATTTTCTCCTTTACTGTTAGGATTTTTCCCTTCCTAGAAGGACATGCTGGATTAATCCAGGATGATCTCATCTGGAGCTCCTGATCTTCATTACATCTTTAAACACTTTTTTTCCAAATAAGGTCACTTCACAGGTACCACGGTTAGATCTTGGACACATCTTTTTGGAGACTGGCATTCAGTCCACTACAAGTAAGGTTGGCTGACACCGCAGGTATAACTAGTCTGGATAACACTAGCATCTGACAGCTCCTCAGGTCTTTTTGGCAAACCTAGATATCTATAAAAATATGAAGTTCATCAATGTTTATAAAGCTTTCCAACCATGAAATTTAAGACATATGAAATCAGAAGATTAAAATTACCCAGAGAGACTTTACATCCCTAGGTGTGGCTCTCCATCCTTGGGAACACAAGGCAATGGAGAGAAGTCACGTACCTCGGATAGTGTCTAGTCTGGTCACAGAAGAGAGGAAATGGGATCTGCCATTCCTCCTCATCAGCCACCCTCCATTCCAGAAGACATATGTGGCTCCCAGATAGCAAAGGAGAGTCTGCAGGATGACTCGATTTCATCCCTCCAGTGGGTAAAATTGCAATATTTCCAGAATCTCTCATCTGGCTTTAGTGCATCTGCACATCAATAGGTTTTTCAAGGAGTGGAGAGAAGTGGCCATCTACATATCAGTAAGTAATTACAAGGGCGTGGGATGGTTTATCTGGACTGGAGAGGGTGGGTGGAGCTCTCTTCTGCTGAGGCCTGGTCAAGAGAGAGACGGGAGGACTGCTTGTATGAAATAAACGAGTTTCTTAACTTTATTTCTCCCTTTGACTGATTTCTGTTTTAGTGGTATTTTGCCCCAGGATATTCCCCCCTGGAGTTATACCTCCTTAAAAATAAGAGATTTTGAAGGACTGGAGGGAATGTGAATCTGTTGCAGATGCTGAGCTAGCTTCCTAAGCCATGCATTATAGAGGACAATCTTCAAAACCCTTAGAAAAAAGAGAAAGAAATGCTGAAATTGATTCTAACTGTGCTAACCCATCCTCCTCCTCCAGCCGACAGGCACTCTGAGAAATGGTTGAGTAGCTGCCAATGTCAAATGGAACTTAGAAAACATCACACTCTGGTCCTTTCTCCCTTCGTAATAGAACTCATAATAGAACAGGAGCCACAAATTCTATCAAAGGTTCCATCCATTATTTTCTGGATGATGACTGTAAGAGGATCCCAGACTGTGGCCATGGGAGAGCAGCAGAACTGAGCCGAAGTTTAGAGCAGCTTAGAGGAGAATCCGTCTTTGGGTGGCCTTGAAGGAAGTTGCCCTGAGACAGAGCTTGGAGGGGATCATGGTCTCTGGCAGAAGAGGGTGGAGACTGAGCTGCCTGCTGGGGGCGCTGCTCCTGCTCTGCGGCAGGAACCAGGCCACAGACCCACATCCACCAGGGGAGAGGCTGGGCGATGAAAAGGTTGGAGCACGACTGTTTTCAGAAGTTCAGAGGCTGTAGAGTGAGAGGCAGAAGGAAGAGGAACAGACTGTTTTTCCTCTTAGTATTAAAGTAG